TATACTGACATTAAACTGAACATTTTGCCGTAAATAATGAAAGTTTCAAAAATACCTTAAAGTTGCTCTTAGAAAAACTTTTTTATTAAAAGTTTGTCCATCCTGGAGTTGTTTTCAAAACTTCTGCTTTCTATTCAAGTTTTTATTAAAAATATATAAAAAACCACAAATACGTTTTTTTTTATTATTTGAATTTTGAGGTTTATTTTTATTTTTTTTTGTAAAAAAAAACGAAAAAAAAAATTCCGTGTATATTTTTTTTTATAAAGCCTTATTAGTTTTCTACAACTCCTTCTTAGTAATTTTTTTTTCTACAACCAACTGTTTTCGAACTACATTTTTTTTAAAGTATGTGTGCAAAAATTACCCTTGAGTCAAAAGGGTCTCCTCTCCTGCGGAAAATACTTGGTCTATCATACTGAAAATATGTGCCAAGTATCATCCAGATCAAAGAAATGGAACACATATGGAAAATATGTGTAGCGCTAATGAAATCTTGTTGATTCCATCAAGATAGTTTTTACATAGAGGTAAATCTAAGACCAGAAGGTCCCGGAGAAACGTGTTCAACTTTTTGGCTCAGCTCTAGTACTCTCTTCGGTCCCAAGCTAATCGATGCACCCCTCGAAACATAGGAAAATCCACGAACCCCTCATTTTATCTGTCAAACTTGCATAGCGAATCAAAACAAACATAGTGTAGTACTGGAATTTTTTACTAGAATGGGGTACGTTAATCGATTTGCTTGGGACCAATAGGCTAGTCAAGTAGTGAGCCAATTTAAAATCGTTAGTTTCGTATTGATTGTTGGTTTTTATGAGCAGTTCTTTTGATTTGCAATGCCACACGTAGAAAAATTTATCGTTGAAACAAAAATATTTGAGGTAAATTTAAACGTAAGCTCAGTTTGTTCTGGCCACAAAAATAATCATGGTTTATTTCAAACGTATTCCATGTTTGAAAAGTCATGTAATATTAATGTTTAAAATAAAAATAATGTTACGTTTATTTTAAAAATGTTCGTGTTGAAAATAAACGTGAATATTTTTGTTTGGTTTGACAACAATGCGAACAAAAATAAATATGTTTATTTTAAACATGCTTCTTATGTTTGAAAGAAACATACTTAATTTTAAATTATATTAGCATTTGAATGTAAGATAAAGCAGAAAAATTGATTGTCAAGATGAAAACATGATCTGCAGGAAGATCCCGAATTCAGTTTGATTGCAATGCTCGTTGCAATCTAGGATTGGAAATGCAGGAATCGGAAAAAGAAGATGAGGATGATGAGAAACCGTTGAGTTCGGTAAGGAAGGAGGATGAATACAGCACTGATTTTAGTAAGAAGTTGATCCAACAAATTAATCAGTCGAGTCAGGATTGTGTGAATATGATAAAGCTTGCTGAAGTTTTGAAGCGAATGGAAAATGAGCGGATGAAGTTGGAGAAATTACGGAAAGAGCAAGAACACAAGGCAGGTGTAAATGAGGAGCATGTTTCGGATCTGCTTGTGGCAGGAGAGAAGATCAAAGACAAAAGCTCGAAGCAAACAGGAAGAAATTACTTTTTCAGGGGGGGAGTATAGTCGCTATATTCATAGTCTGGCGGATAGAATTCTGAGCTATCAAAAAGCGGAACCAATTCAATATATTTTAGACCAACAATTGAAAAGGTACTATCCACTTTAATAAACAAAACGTTGATTATGCTTCCTCGCCAATCTATTACAAATTACCGGCATCATCGGATAGGGGAAACTTTCCTCAACCCAAAGATGGTGTTAGTTTGCGTAGGCGAGCCTTGAGTCACGAGAAAAGAGTTTCCGAATTTTTGTGCGCAATAGCTGATGTGCTCTTTTTCTGTTATTGGTCGTGATTTGCTCGATTGGTTCCGCTATTTGACAGCTCAATTGGTTCGACGATAGCGTGTTAAAAAGATACGTATCTGAATTTTATGCAGCTGGCTCATAATACGATTATCAATTATTGTCTCAGTATTAGGTATATTTGATTGATTTTACAAATTTAAGGAATACGCCTTTTTCTTGAGGTTATTTGCAAACGCAAAATAACGGTATGAATAACTTCTTGAAATATTGCTCATTTTTAGTCGTACTAAGGATCATTCATATACCACTCATTTAAAATTCGTCCACTAGGTAAAAAGTTGAAAATCAAGCGTTTTACTAAAATAAATCTAACTTCGTACAGGCTCTTCTAATAAAGACCAAAGCTTTAGTAATAAATCAATAAACATCTCTTCAACCACCAGTCACGATTTAAAAAATATATTTATTCACCATGTTTCAAAAAATTGTTCTCTAGGGTGTACGATCAATTTTGAGATACACTGTATCTCTCGCCAAATATCCCGATGAAATAAGCTACCCGTAAAAAAGAAGAACAATAGAGGTACAATGAAATGTATTGTAACCATACAATGTAATTTACTGTACTTAAAATAAACTGTATTGTAAACAACGATAAAATAACCACATAATTCATTGTTTCAACAATATAATCTATGGTAAATGTGGAAATCTACAATAGAACAAGGGTTGTTATGTATCTTAACCGTACAGAAAATCACTTTTTCCCGAACAAACTTGAGCCATTTACCATTCATTTTATTGTTTTTCTATTGTTGAAAATTCATACTATATGGGACGTATTGTAGATATAACAATATTTTAAAATTACTTGTATGGTATACATATAATAAGATCGATTGTTTGCAATAGATTTTGTTGCGATTATATATTACTTTATGGTAATTGTATGGATATTTTTTTACGAGCCCGGAATTTCCGACCAAGAGGTTTATTACGTACTTTTCGTACCACCGCCCCTTGTTGTCTGTTGTTAGTTTTTGGAATATATTCGAATATGGTTAATCATTTGCTTTATTTCATAGTCACCGTTTTGAACTGGATGTTCAAGTATCCTTTTCCAGCAACAACACCATCTTGCAATACCTTTCTTTCCAGAACACAATTTGGATTACCCGAATAAAAATTTACCATACAAAAACAATAGAACCTATTGTTACAATTTAATAAAATGTATTGTAGCAACCATAAATCTTATAGTCAAAAACAATAAAAATACATTAGAACTTATTTTTATGCAAATAGAATATACTGTATATGCGACTTTTACTATAGAAAAGGGGGGTTGTTAGTAACCGTAACCATAAAAAATCAAATTTTTATCGAACAAATTTGATCTCATTACAATAAATTTTATAGTTTTTTCACTGTGCAAAATTTTTAAAACATATAATTTATTGTAAGCCTATTGTGGTGACTATTTGATCATTTGACCAATACAATACAATTAAAATAGGGTTAATTATCTATTTTATTTGATTGATATATATTTTTTTTTCCTTGGTTTGTTTTCCGTCGATCTTGTTTTCCGTGCTGAGCACCAATGCTACCAACGCCAGGAAGGCAGCTCCCACACCTGGACCCTACCTATCGACCCATCAACTCATGAACCGGGGACCAACGGCTTTACTTCCCTTCCGAAGGAAGGCGTGATCACAGATGTTATGCCTCAGAACATCCCGGCGGCGCCGACTGGGATTGAACCCAGGCCTGCTGGGGTGAGAGGTAATCACGCTTAACACTACACCACCGGCGCTGCTTATTGATATATTATTGTAATTTAATGGTTAATTTTATCCGGGTACGCTTTCTTCTTTTTATTGGTGCAAATCCTACAGAATGGTCACACCGCAGTAAAAACGCAGGTGCACAACCCCGCAAATCTAAAGTCACGTAAAGTGATAGCACAGAGTGTAGCTCTGGGGTACTAACATTTTGAAATACACTCAGGTCTTTTTTTACACGGGGGATACGTACCGTGTAAAAAAAACCTACGAGATTTTGATTTTTCACATGTTTAAATGTTTTAAAAAATCGGATTTTGATGTCATTTGTAATTATAGCATTCTATGGTCCATATAGACATATTTTAAAAATTTCTGTATTTACACCAAAAAATTGTGATTTTTTTCTAAGTATGCCATTCGATTACGTATAGCTTGAAACGGATAATGTGTTTGGAATCAAGTCGATAGGTTGTATCGTTGTCGAGAAATCGTTAAAAACGTACCGTGTAAATCGCGAAAAACCGTGTAAAAAAACCGCGTAAAAAAAACGTGTAAAAAAAGACTACACTGTAAAAAAAGACTGCAAGTAAAAAAAAAAGACTGCCCTTTTTCGGGAGAATACTAGTTACAACTAAGGTTGTGTTCCATTTGGTGAATTTTCACTTAAATTTGACAGATGAAAAAATTTCAAATAAACCTGCTATTGAACCAGACTTATTTCTGACAGACCAAGAATCAATGTTGACAAACACATTCTCGAAAATCAAGGAAATCAACAACAGAGGGATTTTAGAAAATTTTAATTTATTTTCAAAGTGTCCAATTTAAGTGAAAATTCAGCCTAAAAGATGCTAAATTTATAGACAATTCTGTCTCTTTAGATAAAACTATCTGTTTGGATTGACTAAAATTAAATTAAATTTATTTTTATTTTTATTATTATTATTTATCATAGATGTAGACTCCGTGCAACATTTTGTCCGAACGAATCATGAAACATAATCCTCCTTGATACCGGACCCGCATGGTTGATTTATACATGTATATTCGGCTGCATCTCCGTGTGACCACGACATTGAGCCGCCTGTGTCGCTGACACAAACACTCCTTTCGCAATCGAAAAACCACATAATCATCGCGACTCCTTCATTACTGTGTATTACAAAATTAATGCGTCCGCACTAAACCACGTGCGTTTTATACCGTTCCTATAGCTGATAGGTACTCTATACAAAGTCTGGAAAGCAAATAAAACAACCAAACACACTATCAAACAAGGCGCACATTGCAACCAACGACGACGGTTCGAGACCTGTATCGTACGACATCCACTCGCAGTCATCGTTCGAGTGTGCTCCATTCCGCAAGCCTTTTGCTTGATTATCGCGATCATCAACGATCCGTACAACAGTGCCGGAGTTTACTCGTTTTTGTACAAATAAATAAGTGTCTGTCTTACATAAAATTTGTGTTAAAAAAACGACAGTGTTCCGCTTCGTTGTTCCTGAGCTTCAAAATTTTCTCCAAATTTCTTCAGTTCATCGTTCGAAATCACACCAGGATGGCTGAACCGTGAGTATAGATTGGTGTGACTTTAATTCGATCATTAGTGGACTCTCTTATAGTAGACAATGCATAGCAGGAAGAATAGGTTCAATTTCTGCCAGTCACCGCGGTTGTGTACTTACTTGAACTGGCCCCTGAGCGCGTAGCTACGAAGTTATTCCAGTAGTGTTTTTTAACGCTATCTATCAGTGGTGCCTTGTATGCATTTTTTCCGTATTGATGAAGTTTACTTTTGTCAATCGGTGGATCGTCTCTATATTGAACGTCGATTGTCGTCATAGGTTAGGTATATGATGAGGGGTAAAAAGTATCACCGCAAACGTCTCGGCGAAGGTTAAACATTCTCCAGATGCATACATGTAGGTACCTACATCATATTTCAAATACTGGGCCACTGAGTAGTTACATTGGCGTTTGGCGTGTAAATGTTTGTAAAGCTGATAGGGTCTGCATCGAAAACAAACTAAGCAAGGGTCGTTTTTAATGTTTCAAAAGATGTATGTTTTATTATATTATGTCTATGCATGCTTTGAAAAATAAAAATGCATAGGGCACCGAAATCAAACTAATAAAAAAATCACAGGTTTCATTACAGACCACGTGGTCAAAACTAGCGAACCAGTTTCTTGCTTACTGACTCGATTGTTTGCGACCTTCGAGTTCCGTCCTAAAAAATACTTTTGTCTGTAGCTTCCACATAGATCAACTCAAAAGAAACATTTCAGCGTCTCGCAATTGGGTACACGTGCGTTAGGAAGCCTCATTAAATTATAACTAAATATCTGGGCCTCAAAGGATTTAAAAGATATTTTATCGGAAGAGCAAACCTTGAAAATTAAGCTCCACAGTGCTCAACCAGCTCAAAATCAGGTCCAGATTAGCCTCTCAAAATATCCACTCATTTGGTAAGAAACTGACTATGCACAAACCGTTTTAAGTTTACCTTAATGGAATTTCTAGAGTCGGTGTATAATGAGTCACGCCAAAAGTGAAGCCAAGTCTACCTATTGAACTGTCAAATCGGCTACCTATCGTGCAAAGTAAATAAACATTACGATGCTATGAAAGGTCTACGAAAGGTATTGCAATGAAATATAAAATAAAATTGAAGAAATCATCATAAACACGCAGCGAGCATTAAATGGTCATGGGATACGTTTGGTTTTGATCAGTAATGAGAATTTCTACTATTTTTTGATAAGATAATTTGACAAAATCACTGATATTATGATTCACTACAGCCGTTATTTTTGGTTCTCGCTAGAAGTAATTTAAAGTTGATGTAGAAGTCCTCTGTTGCCAAGTGAAAAGAAAGGGAATCCTTCGGAAACCGTGATGCGAGTTCAACTGTTTTTCTCTTGGCGTGACTCATTATACACCGACTCTAGAATTTACTATGAGAAAACAATATTTTTTTTATATTACTTTCGTTTAAGACCATGTGTCAGCCAAACGTCAAATAAAATAGTTATTAATTATTAACGATATTAGTAATCTTACGACATGATCAAACGGTTGTTTTACATTACCACGAATGTCACTACCCCGAATGCCATCACTTTTGATCGAGAGTGATCTTCAGCAAAAATTTAGGTGATACAAAATCTACAAGCACATCTATTAAGTTTTAAATCAGAATAATACCTATGGTAATACCACAGACAAACAGACATAACCTATTGAATATTTGTCACCGTAAAACATCGTTACAAAACATTACCATCATCTGTTGAGTACACTGTGGTGGGCAGTACGCTGAACTGATGGCGGTAGTTTGTAAACGTCAAACGCAAGGGAATTTACTATGCGCGCCACAGGTGGCGGTACTACCAACTACGATACTTTTGAATTGACCATTATACCAACAATCAATACGAAACTAACGATTTTAAATTGGCTCACTACTTGACTAGCCTACTGGTCCCAAGCAAACTATTAACGTACCCCATTCTTGTCGAAATTATACTACTACACAATGTTTGTTTTGATTCGCTATGAAAGTTTGACAGATAAAATGAGGGGTTAGTGGATTTTCCTATGTTTCGAGGGGTAAATCGACTAGCTTGGGACCGAAGAGAGTACCAGAGCTGAGCCAAAAAGTTGAGCACGTTATTTCGGGACCTTCTAGTCTTAGAGTTACCTCTATGATTATACCCCGTACAGACTATGGCTTATATCATGTAATATAGGCGGTCTTGCAATGAGCACTCATATATAGGATTTCCAGTGAAAACTAGATGTATGAGTGCTCAAGACAGCCTATATTACATGATATAAGCCATAGTCTATCTGGGGTAATAAATGCTTGATCGATGAACAACTTGCGAGTGTTATGTCTGTTTAACTGTGGTAATACCATACATTTTTGGAAAGATATAAAAAAAAGTATGGTTTTCCCATATCAGGGCTTGTTGGTTGCCGGCCAATTTTTAGTGGCTAGGTCACTATTTTCAAGTCAGTCACTAAAAAGTCACTTTTTGCACCCAAAGGTAACTCTAATCACTTTCTTACAACCAATAATGGAGCAATAAATTTGCCTTTAAAAAATCACATCAAATCACAGCTTGATTTGGTAACAAATTTGGGCTAAAAAGATTCATTCAAAATCAGCGTGTTAAGTCCGTTAAAGAAGAGAACCAAAGGCAAACAGACACTTCATTGTTTACGCATTTAACGGTTGATTTGAAAGAGAGATGACCTAGCCTTCGGCTAAAAATCTCTCAAATAAAGATTTAAAAACAAAAAAAAAAGGTTGATTTGAATAATATCAGTTCTGCGAACTACTCGCCGCAGCGCTGGCATCGGATCACTTTGACGTTTCTATACATCATACATAACTTTTATGCAATATTGTTTCCGAGTTAGCGAGCAAGCTTGTTTTCCGCGAGAAGCCGAGAGATATCGTTACTGAGGTCCTATGTTTTGAGATACTATGTTTTCAAGAAAAACTTTTTCAAAGAGTTACGTCTGTTTGCCTGTGACAGAACTGTCCAGTGGGTTCTGATGGAATATCTTTTCAACTCCGTGATCGAGACATTCAAGTACGTTATCTTCGAAACTTTTCCAGGCCAGATTATAATTTTTTTTATATTTTTTCCCTTGCCTGTGATCACGAATTAGTCATAGACAATTTCATCGCAATTTTTCAGAGGTTTCGTAAAAATATATGGCTCCTGGCTTTTTTACTTGCTGATATTGAAATAGAAAAGCTAGAAAAGTTCTAGAATACTGGGAACCTGTTCGACTTCAGCAGAATAAGAAAGAAAGCAGTCTCTTCGTCGCATCGATTTTGTCGATAGAAAGCTGATAGTGTGACGTCCTGGTCGCCAAACCTTGAAAAAAAAATTCAAGATCCCAGAAAAAAGGATTTGAGCCTTGTAAAATTGTTCAGCCTCTTACAATTGGAAGAATTTTAAGGATTCTGGCACTATGAAGAGTTTGTAATGGGATTTTGATGAGAATTTAAATTGAATTTTGAGGAACAATTTTTTTGGGGAGAATAAGTGATTTCTGGAGAGAATTCCAAGGGATTGATGATTAGAGTTCAAATGTAATTGATTGAAGTATTACAAGGGAAATGTAAGAACTACTGTAATTGTGCAATTGTTGAAATTCTAGAGAGTGTTCAACGGAAATTGTGAGCAGAATTCCAGGAGATCTACCAGGGAAGTCTACTCAAAACTATTACTATTCCCTGAATAATTTCTTGTACGAATGCTCCCGTAAATGTAAATTCCCCTAGAATTTCTTTGGAACTATCTTCAGCTTCAGATGTGGAAAAATTCTTGGAAGAACTACTGAGGAAAATGGGAAAGTGAATTCCAATAATTTTCTGGAGAGAATTTGTAGAGTATCATGGATAAAACTATGATGGAACTCTAGAGATAATCCAAAGATTATTTTAGTGGAATCCCGAAAATTCTGTGATGATTTTGAAAAAAAAATTTGAGCAAGATTCTAAAGAAATCCTGTGAATAGACTCAAAGCAGCTGTCAAAGTAATTTAGATATAAAAAACTGTACTCGAAAAAATGATCAACAAAAATTCATTTTAAGTCGGATATTTTTGAAACTCTCAGGGAATAAATAAACACATATTAGCTATGTTTTTGCAAAATTGGTTTATTCAACCTCCTCTAATAGGCTATATGCCCGCACATTGGACTTAACGCTACCCATCAAATCCTGTGCAACACTTGCGCCATCTTTCTTACACACTTTCATCCACTCTTTCTTCAAATCCTTGTCGTTTTTGAAGACCTTCCCTGTTTCCGGAGCTTGCCCTTCAAAATCGCCCAGAACTTTTCTATTACGCGAAGTTCTGGCGAGTTTGGCGGATTTGCCTCCTTCGGCACAAAACAACATCGTTGGCTTTGTACCACTCCATCACCGGTTTCGCGTAATGGCACGATACCAGATCCGGCCAAAACAGAGTTTCACCTTCGTGGGACCGGAGGAAGGACAGCAGGCGCTTCTGGAGGCATTCTTCTATCTAGCATTTTACGATCGCTCATCGCCGCCACAATCTGGCTGAGTTTCTGGTAGGGAGCATTCGATTTGATGTTTGGGTTATATCGTTTGACGTATAAACGATCAAATTTGACCGTTTACAGGTCAAACGACACAAGCCAAACTTCAAATCATATGTTCCCTACCAAAAACTCAACCAGATTGTGGCGGCCATGAGCGCTCGTAAAATACTCGATATTTGGCCGTAGATGGTCCCGGGATTATGTACGGCTTGCTGAATTTGCCGTCTAAGTACTTCTTGACAATTTTGTCGGAATTCTTCTTCCGGAACTTCTCCGGAACGTCCAGGCGGGACTTGCCGACGAAAAACTCCAGGCCGGGGATCTGCTTGGCGTCCGCTTGAATGTACGTCTCGGCGTCCATTACGATGCATTTCGGCTGCACCAACCACTCGCGGTACAGCATCCTGGTGCGGGATTTGACCACCTGTTTACCGGTTCGGTTAGGCGCCTTCCTTACCTTGAACACATGAAGTCCGGCCCGCTTCATTGTCTGCTGGACGAACCAGACCTTCTTCGCCACGTCCCGAATCGAAAGGTTCGGATTGCGCTTGAAGGAATCCCTCACCTTCTTTGCGTTTATGGGGTCGGCGTCTTCGCTTTTCTTCCGCCGCTGGGTCGTCTGGATCTCCTTGAATGATTTTACCACACGGTCGAATTGTCGATTCCAAACTGTTTCGCGATCCACCTGTGGAACTGTCCTGGATTTTCCACGACCCCGCCCCCATATTTTTTTTGTCGAAGCACTTCTTGCTTGGAAGCCATCTCGATAGCCGCTTGACAGATTGTGACGAGATTTTTCACATATGTGAACATTACACACTAAACTAGTTTTACTCAAAATTTCATAAAGGTATACCCATGCAATAAATAGTTATACATAAAAGAAAATGTTGCATTTTTTTCGAGTACAATCTTTAGACAAACATTACATTGTACACTCATAAAATAAATCACATAATCAGTGGAAAATATTCATGTGATCCAATAATTGAAAATTGCACCACTAAATCACATGAACGTTATGTGTCCAATAAAATCTATTTGATTTCTCATATAGAATTTCTTATGCTATGTGATTTTCAGATAACAATCATTATTTTTGTTATTGGAAAAATATTATGTGCGTTCCTAATATAAACTAAGTGAAAACTTGTTTCAGTGTAGTCATTAAAAAATGTTAAAGATTCAGGATTTGGTCAAAGTTTCAAAATTCTGAAACTTCGAAAATTTCTTAGATCTTATGCTTGGAAAAACTTTCAGGATCCCGGGCCAAGACAAATCTTCAAGATTTTGGAGCATGACAAAATTTCCGACATTCTGGAACTAACAAAAAATTAGAAAACTTGTTTTAAAATTTGTCGATGCGCCATAGAAAAAAAAAATCAATATCACGGACATGAACATTTTTGAAGATTCTGGGACATGAATAGATTTCAAGACAGAAAACAAATATCCGAGGCTATAGACTTCGAAAAACATAAGATAACGAACTTAAAGTAAAGAAACATCTAAATCTCAGACAATCACTCCTATTCCTAACGGATTTCAAACACAAAAAAAAATTGTGCGAGAAATCCGTTTCAAATGGATTACAGAATAGGGGTGAAGAGCTCGAGAATATTGAAGTAACAATTGATTTTTCAATTTGCCATAATCTAGAACAAATATATTTTTAAAATTTTCCAGCAAAGCCGATATCGCTCTCATTGGCCTGGCCGTCATGGGTCAGAATCTGATCCTTAACATGGACTCGAAGGGCTTCGTCGTCTGCGCGTACAACAGAACCGTCGACAAGGTACGCTGTCATCGCATCTAGATAGAGACTACGAATAGATTATCAAACAAACAGAAGAGACGTGACATCATAAAAGCTATTTCGTATGTCTAGCCTCTGATAACCGTGCAATAAATTGCATCGAGTAGGACAACGACGTCACTGGACGTCTGGTTTTGATATGTAGATTAATCGTCCAATTTACGAATCCATACAGGTCAAACATTTCCTCGACAATGAAGCCAAGGGTACGAACATCATTGGAGCTACTTCCCTGCAAGATATGGTCAACAAGCTGAAGACACCCCGAAAGATCATGATGCTGGTGAAAGGTGAGTTCAGTTTTAATCAATTCGAGTGACGACACGTTTAAACGTTGCTATGATTCATTCCTGGTGAAGTAGCGTGACTTGAGTCAAAGGCGATGTACCCTCCTGTTGTGGCTTATAATGTCATTTAGAGGTTACAGCGAGAATAAAAATAAATCCCTCAAGGAGATAAGAACAACAACATGCCTACGTAGGACAACACAAGTAACCGGCGTCAACTGTAGTAGACGCACTGTTATTTATCTCCTTTCCAAGTGCATCGACAGTCCCACAGCATCCAGTCAGTTGTGTAAGAGACTAATCCATAAATTGTAGCACACACCAAAAAGCTCTGTGGGCTTCGTTGCTTTGCGGCTCAACCAGGCATAACACGGCATCGAAACTGGGGCAAGCGAAAGTTATGTACGCGGTGTCCGCTTGAATGCGCCTCGATCGGCTATTGCATAACAGGTTATACGTGCGATGACCTTCCTTGCTGGTGGAAGCATGTACCGTAGTTTGGAGTGATTTTGGATTTGAGTATCCGACAGTGGCAAGAACTATATAAACACGCCTTGCTATAGCCATCTACTTAGATCTGCTCAATTCACACTCTGACCGACTCTGACCCGCCCACCTGTTTGCCTTTCTTTGGACTTATATAGGGAAGTAAAAAGATGTTTGAACTTCCTCATAAAAACCGCCATAATAGCCCGTTTATCTACACTTAACGTCCTCTGGCCAAATCACCTTCGTAGTATCCTGAGCACCTGAAAATGACCGCTCAAAGAGCACTCAAAACCCATCATCTGAGGAGCTCTCCAAAACTAGTTCTATAAACTCAGTAAATTTGAAGACTCCGTTCTTTTAAGTAATCACTTCTCATATAAAAGACTGTTCCCAAAACCACCCCACCGTACGGTGCTTACCTACAAACCTAGACTCACTCACGATCGAACATTGATCTTGAGATTTCACTTCGCTTCGCGAGTCACTCTCGTGAGTCCCTAATGCCCGCAGAGCCTAAACTGAAGGTGCCATAGAACTGACACTTCATGCCACGGGGCCTTTTCCATTCATTCTAGAGCGCAAAGCACCCCATAGACAATCACTTTTGTTTTTTGCTGTCGGCAACCATCCTCGGCTCGGTGCGCGCTGCTGCATGACTTGAAGGTTACAAGGAGAGACCTCACCAAAGTTCAAACGGAGGCAATCACGTGATGATTATGCTTGACGTAGTTGATTTTGTTGCTAATTTAATTGCTTGCTTCCGATTCCATTGCAGCCGGCAGTGCGGTCGATGATTTTATTAACCAACTGCTTCCATTGATCGCGAAGGGCGACGTCATCATCGATGGCGGTAACTCGGAACACCAGGATTCGGCCCGGCGGTACGAAGAACTGAAGGCCAAGGGCATTCTGTACGTGGGATCTGGTGTAAGTGGCGGAGAGGAAGGAGCTCGCTATGGTCCCTCCCTGATGCCCGGAGGCCATCCGGACGCTTGGCCACTGATCAAGGATATATTCCAGGTGAGTGGATATAAAGCACTAAAAAAAAAATCATTTGATCAATCGCTTCTTGTTTCAGGCAATTTGCGCCAAATCCAATGGTGATCCTTGCTGCGAGTGGGTCGGCGAAGGAGGTGCTGGCCACTTTGTCAAGATGGTCCACAACGGTATCGAGTACGGTGACATGCAGCTGATTTGCGAAGCCTACCATCTGATGTTAGCTCTCGGTATGACCCAGAAGGAAATGGCCCAGGAGTTCGACGAATGGAACAAGGGAGTATTGGATTCGTTCTTAATCGAAATCACTCGTGACATTTTGAACTACCAAGACGAGGAAGGTTATTTGCTGGGGCGTATCAGGGACACCGCTGGACAAAAGGGTACCGGAAAGTGGACGGCAATTGCCGCTTTGCACCATGGCGTTCCGGTGACGCTGATCGGTGAGGCTGTGTTTGCCCGTTGCTTGTCCGCGCTGAAGGAGGAACGTGCCAAGGCTAGCAAGCAGCTGGCTGGACCGAACGTTAAAGCTTCCGTTGCTGACCGTAAAGCATTCCTGACTCACATCCGCAATGCTCTGTACTGTGCCAAGATCGTCTCGTACGCCCAGGGTTTCATGCTGCTACGCGAGGCCGCCAACGAGTACAAGTGGAACCTCAACTACGGAGGCATTGCTCTGATGTGGCGTGGAGGATGCATCATTCGCAGCGTCTTCCTCGGTAACATCCGAGATGCGTTCGTACGCAACCCTCAGTTGTCCAATCTACTGTTGGCTGATTTCTTCAAGAACGCCATCGTCAAGAACCAGCAATCATGGCGCGAGGTTGTCAGCCAGGCCGTTTTGTGGGGAGTACCAGTTCCGGCCATGTCGGCCGCATTGGCCTTCTTCGATGGGTATCGCTCGGAACGTCTGCCAGCCAATTTGCTCCAGGCGCAGCGGGACTACTTCGGTGCGCACACCTACGAACTGTTGGGCAAGGAGGGTAAGTTCGTGCACACCAACTGGACCGGCAAGGGTGGAAACGTCTCGGCCAGTACCTATTTGGCTTAGATGCGCAAGATGGCGAGCCCAATGTCCACCGAACCCCCACATTCCCGGCTATCGAGGCCTCTTCACAGAATCCAGATGATGGTACACATATTTTCCACATAAAAAGTCGTTATTTATTGTTGCTCTTTCGATAGGATTTCGGAAAATGTTTTTGTATAAAAATGATTGTTTAGTATCAAGTACCGTGTGCTGCATTTATATCACATTCCGAGTTTTATTAACATTCATGTATTCTACGGACCATCAGTGGTCCAAAGCGCCAACGTGCAAGGCTGCCATCCTGGGCGGCTGCTCGCTTTTGCTTTCACCTGGGCCCGGGTCAAATTACTATCGACTTACTTGATTTCCTTGTTGAGGCTTCGCCGCCATGAATCCCTGGATCTGACTCTACAGAGCTTGCTTGCAGATTTCGTTCTCGCCCCTTCCCAGTTTGTGACCAGTGCGTTCTCGAATTTTAGTTGATATCGGCTTCTGATGACATCGACGATGGAGCGCAACGTTCGAGTTCCAGTTGTGAGACACCCACATTCCAAAATTGCATTCTAAAAAATACTCACATAGTTCGTTCCTGAGTCAATTTATTGCTTTCGCTATGGAAGATTAGTGACCTAATGTTCTATTCAACTGCAAAAAGTCAGCGTCTGGCCCGAATTCGACGATCGTAAATTAGGTTTTCAAGCTGCTTACATGTTTCCAGTACACAATAAGGGATACAAGCATAACGTCGACAACGTCCTGCCCCGTAACGTGGGTAGATCACCTTTTCGTGGTACGTTACGGGATGTAAGATCTACCACCGATTCCTAGTCTTGACTACTTCAAACTAGGGGAACAGGATTTTTCAGTAATCAAAGGAACACATCTTAGTCCTTGTTACTTTTTATGCCTTGTTGATAGTGATAAGTCCTCGGGTTGCCTGGACCGAGGATGATCTTGAAACAAGGAAAAAATGAGTTAGTTAGTCTTCACCGATGTGATTCCAAATCTTCTAATCGTTGTTCCCTAGTTTGAAGTGGTTAAGAATAGGGTTCATGGTCATTATCGGTGTCATAGCTTGTTTTTGTTGTTAACGAATCCAATTTTGACTGACAAAGGGGCGCGCCTTTGGAGGGTGTTCCAACTCCGAAGGGTATAAATAGCGGAACCTATCAATTAGAATCGATTCCTTGCGATGAAGGCAAGAATGACAACTGTATCAAAACCGAATACTTCATCATTTTTCAATAGTGTTGAAGTAATACGACATGCACTAAACTAAGGACACGGGATATACTACAATAGATCAAATTACTGGTCGCAGTAGTTTTATGTCCCGAACAGAGAAAAAAAAAACGTCGACAACTACAACAACTAGGAAATTCTGCCTTAAATGCTGCGACTAAACTTTTCGAATTGGTGATCTTAGACTCAAACTTCAATCATTTCTAGCAATACATCGCCGATACACAACATGGTTTCATGTACAAGCTCTCTACAACCACGAACCTTCTGTCATTTAAAACATGCGACGGATGTGATATGCAGGGGCTACCAAACGAACGCAATTTATACTGATTTATCCGCAGCATTTGATAAGATCAATCACCACATTGCATTGGCGAAGCTCGAGAGACTGGGCTTTGGAGGTAATGCTTTACGTTGGCTTCAGTCATACCTTACAGATCGTACAGGTAACTTACCAATCAGGCAAAGGCCTTATTGTCCTCTGCTGTCCGAAGAAGTCGTCTCCACTGTACTCGATCCATGGCCACACTTCGCCAGTCTTGTAGTCTGCGAAGGATCCGCAGGTCGCCTTCTACTTGGTCGATCCACCTTGCTCGCTGCGCGCCTCTTCTTCCTGTTCCTGTTGGGTCGCTTTCTAGAACCATTTTCACTGGGTCGCCGTGCGGCATTCTTACGGCGTGCCCAGCCCACCGTATTCGCCCAATTTTTGCAATGTGGACGATGGATGGTTCTCCCAGCAGCTGGTGCAATTCGTGGTTCATTCGCCTCTTCCACGTTCTGTCATCCATCTGCATTCCACCGTAGATGGTACGCAACACCTTCCGTTCAAAAACCTCTCGCATAGTCCATGTCTCGAGGCCGTAGAGTACCACCGGTCTAATCAGCGTCTTGTAGACAGTCAACTTCGTGCGGTGATTCCCTGCCATAATGCGTCTTTGAATTTCTCTGCTGGTATCATTTTCGGCGGTCACCAGTGAGCCCAAATACACGAACTCATCGACCGCCTCGATTTCGTCACCATCAATCAGAACTCGGGGTAGGAGGCTAACATTGTCTTCCCTAGAACCTCTTCCTTCCATGTATTTTGTCTTTGATGCGTTGATGGCAAGTCCAATCAGTCTGACGTACGTTTCCGCCATCGTCTCAAAGTTCCGTGCCATGATGTCGATGTCATCGGCGAGGCCGAGAAGCTGGATGGACTTCCTGAAGATCGTGTCTATCCCAGGTCTTCTGATCACACCTTTTAACGCGATGTTGAATAGCAGTCCATCACCTTTCCGTAACCCCCTTCGATATTCAAAGGGACTCGAGAGTGTCGATACTCGAACGACGGACATCACTCGATCCATCGTCGCCTTGACCAATCGCGTCAGTTTATCCGGGAATTCGTACTCGTGCATAGATGATCGTATAACTGGTGAATTCCTTGCTACATCCAGTACTTTTCGCTGGAAGGCTCTAGGCTCTATTTTGCAGATGACCTTAAAATCTACGTCGAAGTAAGGAACATCGAAGACGCATGGTTTCTTCAACGCCAGCTGGTGATTTTCGCTACATGGTGCAACATTATCAAGATAGTGTTTATTCAAAATAAGTGTCCAACAGAATTGGATTTTTATTAACAATCTGGTACTCAAAAAATACTCAAAATGTGAGATTTGAAAGAAAATAAATTATGGGCCCTGGAAAATTTTGAAAGCGTGGAAAAATGTTAAGGGTTACAATAATTTGACAATTTTATTATATTTTAAAATTCAAAAAAAAACATTGAATTACTCCTAAAAAAATGAGAAAAACTCGTAGAAAAATTCAAAAGAGTTCTAACTAGAATCCTAAAATGATTCTGGGATTAAGCCCTGATGAATTTTCAGTAGAATCCCAAGGAAGTTGTGAGGAAACCATCAAGGAGAATTTCTAGGTGATACTGAGAATAATTGTATCGGGATTGTGAGGAGAATAGCAGGTGACTTTTAGGGAGAATTACAAGTGAATAATAATTAAAATTTAAAGGGTGTTCTGACGATAATTCTAGACCAACAATTGAAATAGGCGGAACAACCAAACGTAAACAATGGCGAATGGCATTGTTAGTTTGCATGGGAGTGTTTTGATTCTCGAGAATTTTGTGTTTAAAGCCATTGTTTACGTTTGGTTGTTCCGCCTATTTCAATTGTTGGTCTAGAATTAAAAAGGAATACTGAGGAATATTCAGAAGAGAATTTCAAGGAAGTTTAGATAAAAATACCAGAGGAATCGTATTCTGAGTTTAATTAAAAAAGGAGAACTTAAAAGAAATTTATTAAAAAATTCCGAAAGATATCTGAGGGGAGAGTTTTGAGTACAATTCAAAGAAAATTTTGAAAAGTATGTCATAGGAATTTAATTCTCAATGCAATAATTATGTACGTACTTTTTTGAGATTTTCAAACTCCCCCTCTCCCTATTTTAAGACATAATAAATGTAAATGTAGATCTTGCCTCGAATATTTGACTTGTTCATGCTTACGTAAGCTATTTTTTTCCCATGTAAGAAAACGTAAAAGAATTTCAAGGTGTCAATTCCAAGCAGGCCACAGCGATCCACGTAAGATGGCATATTAGCCTTGTCACGCCAGGGCAGATGACAAAGCGCGTAGCGAACAAACTTTCTCTGTACGCTCTCAAATCTGGCTATCCAGCATGCTTGGTACGGGCACCAGACGACAGCACTATACTCTAAGATTGAACGTACTAACGAACAATACAGCGCCCGCAGGCATAGCTTGTCGCGAGTCTTCAGATATTTTGAACATACAGTCAAGCTGCCCGTTAGCAGGGTTGCTTCCACTCACTTGCTATAAAAAATGATTTTCTGAATTTTGAAATCATTAGATAATATAATGATATTTTGTGTATGTTAGATACAAGAAGAGGATGAAAGGCAAGTGTTTGACTCATAAAACCTGTCAATTTTGCTACCAGAGTGTTACAATAAGCGATTTTATGATTCGTGAGCGTTCACTCAGAGTGAGCGCTCGCGAGTCGTAAAATCGCTGATTGTGACTATCTGAAAGCGAATTTAACAGGTTTCATGTGTCAAACACTTGCATTTCAACATCTTCTTGTATCTAACGAGTACAAAATATGATTTTAACATATAATGATTTCAAAATTCAGAAAATCATGTTTTTATAGCAAGTGAGTGGAAGCAAACCTGCCCGTTAGCTTTAGTTAGGATGTCATTGTAGTGCGGTTTGAAGGTAAATTAACAATCGAGTGTTACTCCAAAATCTTTGATCTGGCTAATCCTCTCTAGAGTTTGCCCGGAAATGGAATAACCAAATATTATCGGGTTTTGTTTGCGGTGAAATGATATCACATTGCACTTGGGGGTCGTCCATTAATTATGTCACACATTTAGGGGGGAGGGGGGGTTTTGAAAACTGTGACGAGCCATACAAAAAAAAATTAAGGTTCATACAAAACATGTGACAAAGGGGGGGTGGGGTTGAAAATGGGCCAAATTTGCGTGACATAATTCATGGACCATCCCTTGTCGATGCTGAGCCAACTCTGCATACGATCTACAACCAGCGATGCAATTGGGTTGTTTAACTTTGAAAAATATACCGATTTTTATACATTATCTGATAGAGCTTCGTTTTCTGAGAACAACGATATTTTTATTGTTCCCGTCATCTCGATTTTTAAATCAAGATTTTTAATCGTTGACACTAAATCTTTTCGTTGACAGTTCGCTCACATGCAAATTCCTACCAAAGGGCGCTAAGATGGTGATTTTTTGCTAATGTAATCGTACTTATTTAAAATAGTTCCGTTAGGTTCCGAAGCGTTAGGTTCCTATAGTTGTGTATCGAGTCTCCATGCACAACTAAAGGAACCTAACGCTTCTAACGTAACGCAACTATAGGAGCGTTTCCCCTACAAACGACCAGAAGCGCTTTGGATTTCTGTG